TAGTTTTAGTTTTTCTTTTTTATTATCGTAGTTTTTAATATTGTAGATAAAATTAAGTATTATGTAAAATTGTAAATAAACTTTTTTTTATTTAAATTAGAAAATTAGACAATAGAGGTAATCTCTAGCAGTTGTAATAATTTAAATAATTTAGAATGTAGCTTACAAATCATTAATTGTGTGACTCCACAGAGTGATAATGAAAATTGTTTACACCTGGTGCATCAAAATATACAAGGCACGATAGGCAAAGAGCTAGAAATTGAGTTGTTCTTAAATAGCAACAATATTCATATTTTATGTATTACTGAACATTGGTTAAAAGCTTATAACCTAATGTTTAACTTCAGTAATCACCAGGTGGTCAGTTCTTTCAATAGAGAAACGGTTTTAAGAGGTGGCTCCTTAATATTAGCTAGTAAATTATTGTAATGTAAAGAACGTAAAGATATTGTGAGCTTCTCTGTTGAGCGAACTGTAGAAATGGCATGTGTTGAGTTTGAGCACCTCATTGTTGTGATCGTCTACAGACCCCTATGTTCTATATTCGATACTTTTGAAAAAATTATAGAGGAAGTATTTGCTAAGCTTAATAAACAGAATAAATCTGTTGTAATATGTGCAGATTTTAATATCAATCTCCTAGAAATTTCCTCAATCAATATTAAATTTATTATATATAATTTATTAATATTCAATATTTATTTCATTAACAAAATAAAATATATAAAATTATATACAGGGTTATTTTTCAAAGAATAGCCAAATTTTAAACTTAAGTCCAAATATATTAATTATGATAAATCGTTACTGCAGTTTTTGAAAATACGAGTAAATAAGGATTCTACTTATATTTGAAATTATCCCAAATTGAATGTGATTTATGGGCAACAACGTATTTGCCTTTTTTAGGTTATTGCAAACTAACCATGTATATAAATAAAATAGTTAAGATGGTTGCTCAGAGAAACAAATAAGAAAATTTAAGAACTGAGAGCCTAATTGAACAAAATTGGCGAGATAAAAACCCACAGATCTCGTAGGCTAACTCATGTCGAAATAATGGCAGAGGACTGAGCATTGAAGTCAGCGTACTTGGAAGTGTCGCATGGTCAATGGGCATTTGGTCATACCCTTACCGTTTTAAGGATGCATTGCGAAAGGACCTGTATGAACAGACCCAAGACTGGCAGCAGTTGGACATACCAAAGTGGCGAATTTTATTGGTGGGGGCCAAGACTCATTCTTTTTATTCTTCAAAAAAATGTTACCCCTATTTAAGATTTTGTATCGTGGCAGCAGCTTAAAAACATAAATTGCCAAAGGACAAACATCCAGATCCGGAACAATTATCTGCAGGCCATACAAATACTTGTTCCGTACGGAAATCACTGTATCACTGCACCTTGTTAGTTAGTTTAGTTAGTTGCAACTGTTAACAATGTAAAACAACGTTCTCTAAATAAATAAGGTTTACAAATACTGCAATGTCATTTGGCTTGAGTTTGCGCTGAAAATGAATAACTAAGAAAAACCACATTTTAAACCAGCTTCGAACTAGAGCTTAGCGGATAATCCTGGTTTAACAAGCTTAGGCTCTGAAAGACTAAGGGCATTGATTAACGTTGCAGCTTAAGAATATTGAAAATTGCAGTTTATATCGCTTACACTGAATTTCGGACTATTTTTATTTTCATAGAAAGAAGTCACCTTCATCTACCACACCGTAGCAGCTTATCAAAAGTCCACAAGTGAACATAGACAGCTTTCCCCCATAGACAGCCTCATATTTGCCGTAGTTGCCTTGCTTGACAAGTGGGTGGGCAGTATTAAATTATTGTTATTATCAGAAAGATGCTGCTGCCTTTATTCTATTTCATATCCCTTTGTTGGCTCTTACGACACTCACAGTATGCCATATCGTCCAGTAGGCACTCTTTATCTAACTAACTTCGTCGTTTTAGGTGGATGCTGTAGCCTATAGACCCATCGTCTAATGGGTCTGTCACCCCTGAGGATTTACATGGAGCCACTAGGATCCCCACCAAATGGGTTCCCGCCTTGTCGTAGCGGGGATCTTAGTAGCCTTGGCTTGGAGACCCGCGGTGAACAAAGTAGATTTAGAGCCCGCGATGAAAGGCACACCTTGTGTTCCTGGTGCGCCTTACCTGAGAAGAAAAAAGGTGAGGAGAATTCTTCCTCAAGAGGGGAGGGGGCTGCTATGGGGCGGCCGGCACTGGTGGGGCCGCGGATGTGTGCGAAAGCATTCCCGTGGTCTTGTTACCAGTAAAAAAGGTCTCCAGTTCACGTATTTATAGCCCATTTAATGGTAAATAAAAGCTGTGTCACATCATAGACACACGGTATAACACGTTTTTCACCCCTGGGAACCTAGATGGTAAACTCCGTTACTAGTAAAAAGGGCCTCCGTTTCTTGTCATTCAAATAATGAACGACAGAACTGGATTATTTTGTTCTTGCTGCAGCCGTAATATAGTTTTAGCATGGCTCTATCACGTTAACCTGATATACGATCTGAGGCAGCCACATATTATGAATCAGGGCCATGTTTGTGTCAAAGTACATATAATTTACGACAGCGACTCTAGAGTCCCATATCATATCACCATATATCCAATGTATAATTTACTTCCGACAATTATATTCAGCATCACATATTTCCAAACTCAGTGCTTCAATAACAGAAGCTAAGCTTCGATAACAGAAGCTAAGCTTCGATTAACACGCCATTAACATCGGTCAAATACACTACATTGCATTTACAGTGCGCAGTGAGAGGTACTTACACTATGTAGAAGTTTTATCCTTAAATTAACGAATTAGTATGCTTTATTAGTAGGTGTGATATTTACGTGTCAGTAAGTACTTTTTGAATTTTGTTACTTTTTTATGTACAATGATCCTCATTACTATTCTATGTATGGTACGGGCTATCAGTCAAACCCCAGATGACTGCTTCGTTTGTCTAGTAGTCGTAAATGCAATTGCCGATCATTACGGCCACCGTCCCATAGGACTATGAGAATGAGTGAATAGAGGGAGAGAGAGACAGAGAGAGAGAGAGAGAGAGAGTACACTTGTGCTAGCGCATACACTCGAGCACTATAACACTGTTCTGCACAGATAGTACTGACAGTCATGACCGAAATTCGGTCTGGAGGACAGTACGGCATGTGTTAAGTCTTCCTGCAGGATCACTTTAGTAATGAGAATATCTGCAGCAGAACCATCGACGAAGAATCGATGTAGCACAACGGATCAACAAGCTAAACTATCAATGTGCCAACTATGTAGCTTGCATTACACGGCGACATAATATCTCGTATGTGTCGTTGAAGTTCTAGAGGAAAATTAAAAAGGGAAATAAGCAGCAGCATCTTCCGGATAACAATTCTAAATAATAAAAAATGTAGTTACTGGCCCACCTGGCAGGCGTGGCAAAAATAAAAAATCCTCCTAACATTGCAAGCTAAACGGGAGGCAACATTCAACAATGTACTCTTGACAGAATGTAAAAAAATTATGTTTAGATTCAAACCACAATTTTTTTAACAGAAAAATTAAAAGGGTATATATTTATTATCTGGAAAATAACAATCCCAAAAAAAATCAAATCAAGCGGGTGAATTTCACTGACAATGCGTGAAATAGTAGTCTAGGGCTGTGACAATCTAGTAAAAGTAATTCAGTTCTTTTAGAATGTGTCTGTTTCAGTCACTTTTTTAAACAAAACAAAATTGAAAAACTTTCTCAAATAAAAATTTGACATATCACTTTATATCATATTATGCACTAACCTATATATATACAAGTAAGCTGGACTGGCTATACCCTACAAAATGTTTGTGTCGATTTGAAGCGCCGCCAGTGTTCGTAGCGGGAACTAAAATTTACATAATTAACTAGTCTGTTGTGTTGTTTAAAACGTGCTCTGTATTTTGAACATTTAATGGAAAAATTTAAGTATTTTATGTAGTTTGTATATGTTTGATTAATGTTATATAATAAAAATTATTTTTAGTAATAATGAGTGTTCGTGATTTGTAAAACTCGTTATCAAAGGGAAAGCGAGATAACATTTCACGAGTAAGTGAATTTACAGCTAATATTAAAAAAATGAACTCTTTGATAATATGAGTACTCAAAAATTTGTTACTAATCTTAATACTAAGATTTTTGGTTTAATATTACTGAGGTTTGATAAACAATAAAATTCAATAGGGTTGTCGAGTTCTTTGTCAAGAATAATTATTATCGATGTTCTTTTCTACCCATATCTGTAAACAACCAAAGCCGTCAACAATAAATAATAGTACCCAGTATTGGCTACTCCACGTTGGTATTGGAAAAACGCCAAACGAAGTTATCTGAGAGTCTTTGTCTAAAAACATCTCACTTCTAATAGTTCTACTCTAACCTTAGTATTTAGTACTTAAAAATGTCAAGAGAGGTCGCTAGCGTCGAATTACAACTCGTTATCTTTTCGTTCACGGCAAACCGTATAGGGTCTGAGAATTATTGTGCAATAAAGTTGTTTTCTACTGGTGACATCTGGAGTTTAATTTCAACATCCGCAAGTTTAGACATAAAGTGGTGCCGAAACCCGGGAGCGAGAAGGACATAAGTGTAACAGTGAGTAAAGTGACGAAAAAAATTACAAGTGTTAAAGACTTAGAATAATTGTGAGTGAACTGTAAGAATTGGCAAAGTGTTTAGAACTTAGAATATTTCGTGTGCAGTGAAAAATTTTCTGAGTCCCAAAGACTTAGAAAAATTTAACTCGTGTTGGAACTTAGAAAATTTACTGATTATAGGACTTTAACTTTTACTGATTATAGGACTTAGAAAATTTTCGATCAGTGGAACTTTCTTTAGTATTTTAAAAGTGTTTTGGACATAGTTGCTGGAGTGTTTGGTGAACATTAGTAGAATATTTATCAGTGAATTTTAAAGTTATTTGGACATTTATTTGCGTCAACATGGAGGAGATAAACTCAATGATTCTAAAACAAACTGAGATTAGTCAGCGTATTTCAAAGGCATTTAAGAACTTTAAAAAGTCCCCGAAAGATAGAATTACGGTGCCCTACATCCGAATTAGAGAAGAGACCTTAAAGGCAAATTGGGAACTATTCAACACCAACCATTATGAGATTGTTGCTGCCACCTCACGAGACGATCAAAAGCTGTTGGCGTACTTCCTCGAGGATGCGTATGACTGTTGTGAAGATACATATTTGACATTCAAGACTATGCTGCTAGAGCAGTTAGAGAAGCTTGTTCCAACCAGCCCAGCTACTGAATTGAGCCACTCTGGTAATAATTCGGAGACAAGTTCAGGAAACACTGGAAAGCCGCAACCTGACGTGAAGTTACCGAGAATAGAGTTGCCAAAGTTTACCGGGAACTACGACGAATGGCAGAGCTTCTACGATATGTTCACTTCGATCGTTCACAACAATTCCAGTTTAAAAGATGTTCAAAAGCTCCACTACCTGAAAAGTAGCCTGTCTGGAGAACCTGAGCTGCTTCTGAGAAACCTAGCAGTGACTGATGCAAATTATCAAGATGCTTGGACAAAACTGACCCAACGTTACACAAACAAGAGATACAATTGCAACGAGGTAATGAAGCGTCTATTTTCCCAAAAGGCTATTACTGCTGAGTCAGCGACCTCTACGAAGCAACTTCTCGATAATACATCTGCGTGTCTCAAGTCACTACAGAATCTTGATATCAACACTGACACTTGGGATCCTATCATGAACTATCTGGTAGTATCTAAGCTTGATACCGAATCACGCAAGCAATGGGAAATGTATGTGAGTCAGAATGTTCAGCCTAACACCTTGCCATCTTGGAATCAACTTGCGAGCTTTTTGGAGACTAGATTTCGAACATTAGAGATGCTGGAAGGCCAAAAAAATACATCAAAGGCTACACAGAACAATACTTCGAAACAAATAATTAAACACAAGTCTTTTTACTCCACTGTTAACAACAACGAGAAGAAAGTGTCAATTAATACTTGCGTGATGTGTTCAGGAGGACACTCACTATACCAATGTAAGCAATATGAGAGGCTGTCCCCAGAGAAGAGGACGGAGTATGTGCAAGCAAACCGCTTGTGCTTCAACTGCTTATCATCGAGTCATTCTGTGAGAGGATGTCATCATTCTATGAGTTGTCGCCGGTGTGGACGACGTCATCACACTACACTACATTACGAGAGAGATCAACAAGTGGCTGCTGCGGTTCCGATCCTACCGCCTTCGCCTACGGTTCTGTCAGAGAATCAGCAACCGTCTGAGAAGAAGAATCCACAATCTTGAAGTCAACAGCCTAATAATCATACCGAGTCGAGAGTAGTAGCTCATTTTGCCAAAGAGAGCTGTCAGGGCAATCAGAGTAAATTGTTAGCAACCGCCCTGATAAAAATTGTTTCGTCAAATGGCTACTCCCAATTAGCCCGAGCGTTAATTGATCAGGGTTCTGAGGTGTCTTTGATCACTGAGGCAACCGTTCAGTCATTAGGTCTTGATCGAACTCCTGTTAATGGTATAGTTTCCGGTGTAGGTGAAGGTGAAACAAGAACCAGGTACATGGTATCCTTTAATATTGAGTCTTTGCTTAATCCAGAGTTTTCATTTCCAGTTAGAGACGCCTATGTGTTGAAGAGTTTGACTTCATTACTGCCTTCGCGCAAACCTGCAAATCTATATTGGCCTGAGCTTGATAATCTTTCACTAGCTGATCCACAATATAGATCTCCTGGTAAAATAGATGTCATTTTAGGAGTCGATGTTCATAGTGGGATAATTAAAGAGGGTCTTATTAAACATCCGTCTGCAGAGCCTGGTGGTCCACTTGCTCAAAATACTGAATAGAATAGAATAGAATAGAATAGAATATATTTTTATTCAATATACATTACATGTGTAATTCTTATTGAAAGTCATTTTTTACTTTACCACTGGTTCGAAAAAAACCTCTGTCCTGGGAAGAACCAGCAAGAAACCCAGCGGGACTTTTTTTTTTAAATAAATTTTACAATATAAATGATTAGGAACTATTTACAAAATTTATTTTAGAAACTGCTTGGAAGCGATCACCTCATTCCCAGGGGTTATTATCAACCATGTATTCATTTATACTATAATAACCCTTTTTATACAGTTTCAGCTTAATAAAACATTTAAACTTGGTAATAGAGAGAACCTTTACACTTTCCGGGACCTTGTTGTAATAGCGTATACATTGCCCCAAGAATGAATTACTGACTCTGTGGAGACGAGAAACTGGTATCACTAGCTTGTGTTTGTTCCTAGTGTTTACAGAATGTATATCACTTCTTTTACTAAAACTATCTTTGTTTTTGTGAACATACATTAAATTTTCGTAAATATACTGAGAGGCCAAAGTTAATATATTAATTTCTTTAAATTTATCTCTAAGAGACTCTCTCGGTTTTAGATTGTAAATAGCTCTAATGGCCCTCTTCTGTAAAACAAAAATAGTTTCTGAATCAGCCGCATTTCCCCATAGCAAAATCCCATAAGACATTATGCTATGAAAATAACTAAAATAAACTAATCTAGCTGTCTCGACACTAGTGAGACCTCTAATCTTTTTTACAGCATAGGCTGCAGAACTTAGTCTGCATGCTAATTTGGATATATGGGGGCCCCACTGGAGCTTTGCGTCAAGAGTGATGCCAAGAAAAACAGTGGATACAACAGGGCTCAATTCCTCCCCATTTAAAAACACATTGGTATTCAGATTTTGAACATTCGTTGTTGTAAATTTAACACAATTAGTTTTATTTCCGTTCAAATGCAGACTGAACTTGGTTGGATTTTGTCTGGTAAAGTCGACAACGAGTTCCCTGGAGCATGTTCTTTACCCATCAGTCTTCATATCCGAGTTAATGAAGATGAGCTTCTGAAAAAGTTCTGGGAGATAGAGAGAGAGCCAGACAAAATCAAGAAAAAGATGACACAAGAAGAAATGAGGTGCGAAGAAATTTATAAAAGGACCACAATGAGATATATGAACGGACGTTACATGGTGAGACTACCCTTCAAAAGTGCAAACCCAGAGTGTTTACATGGCAATACGAGAGAGATAGCGCTGAAGAGGTTTACATACTTAGAGAAGAAGCTTTTAAGAAATCCATCTTTACGTGAAGAGTGTACAAAAGCTATCGATGACTATTTGATTCAGGACCATATGGCTCCTATCGTTGAGGAAGAGCAAGTGAAAGATCCGACAGTAGTGTATGCTCCTCACCATGCAGTTGTGCGAGAAGATAAAGAGACGACCAAAACGAGATTGGTCTTTGATTTTTCATGCAAAAGGAAGAACAATGTTTCCTTAAATGAAGAACTGCTCGTCGGTCCCAAGATACAGCAGGAATTACGCCATATCTTAATGAGATGGAGACGACACCCGATCTGCATTGTGGCGGATATTAAGCAGATGTATCACCAGGTAATAGTCCAGGAGCCAGATACTGACTTACAGCGCATTCTATGGAGATCAGATCCCAAAGAGCCAATACAGCATTTTCGAATGAAGCGACTGGCGTTCGGTACGGCCTCAGCGCCGTATTTAGCGGTTAAGTCTTTGCAAACGCTGGCAATGGACGAGTTTACAAAGTATCCTGTAGCATCTCAGATCACACTTGAGGACTATTACATGGACGATTTGCTATCGGGATGCGAGACTTATGAGGAATCCATAGAGATTTATGAGCAAATGACGAACCTGATGAGAGCCGGAGGTTTCGAAATGCAAAAGTGGTGTAGCAATAATGATCAGTTACTTGAGCACATTAAAACTAAGAATTTGCGTACAGATAAAACTATTGGTTTCAAATTTAATCACGTGGTCAAAGTATTGGGTATATCTTGGAACAAAAGCACTGACAACTTCGAATACAATTTACAACTTCCTATGAAAAATGAAACAGTGACTAAAAGATCTGTGTTTTCTGAAATTGCAAGACTTTACGATCCAATCGGGTGGATCGCACCTGTGATATTTGTGGGTAAAGTCTTCATCCAAACACTTTGGAAGTCTGGTCTTGATTGGGATGAAAACTTGCCGTCGGAACTCCTCCGTGAATGGTGGAAATTTAGAGACGACCTGGTAAATATTCCTAGGCTTATTGTTCCAAGATGGCTGCAAACAAAAAGAGAGGATCATGTTGAGCTACACACCTTTGCAGATGCTTCCCAAGCTGGATATGCTGCAGTTGTTTACCTGAAAACTGAAGACAAGGACGGTAAAGTTGCTGTTAACCTGATTACATCCAAAACTAAGGTGGCGCCAGTTCAAAAAGAGATATCCATACCGCGCTTAGAGTTGTGTGCTGCACTTCTTGCCGCAAAGTTAATACATGAAGTTTCCCAAGTTATGAAAATACCAAAGGAAAAATTATACGCCTGGTCGGATAGCACCGTGGTGCTGGCATGGATTGCAGGAGAACCTCACCGTTGGGTGACTTTTGTGAGCAACAGAGTATCGGAGATACTTACGATACTGGATAGAAGTCAATGGAGACATGTAAACACAAAGCATAATCCGGCCGATTGTGCATGCCGAGGCATAAGCAGTAAAGAGTTGGTTGATCACGAGTTGTGGTGGCACGGACCCACATGGCTAAGAGACCACAAAATGTATGAGAGTCAAGACTGTCAAGAATCTGAGATTGCAGAAGAAGAAAAGGCTGTCAAGTCTTTGGTGACTACGATACAACCAAAAGACGTTTTCCTTTGGACGAGATTTTCTTCGTTACCAAGGTTGTTACGCGTGATGTCCTACTGCAAAAGATTTTTGAATTTAAAACTACCAAAGAAACAAAGACTCACCTTATCGAAGAACGTAACAGCCGACGAAATGAGCACGGTGATGAGACATTGTATAAAGGAGACACAGAGTTTATATTTTGAGGAAGAGATCAAGCACTTAAAGGCCCACAACTGGGTCCCCAAGAGGAGCCGTTTACATACTCTGAACCCGATTCTTGATGAGAATGGTGTGTTACGAGTAGGTGGACGCATTAATGAAGCCAAGGTTGGCTATGACACTCGTCATACAATAATTATGCCTAGTGAGAGTCATCTTACAAGACTCATAGTTGCGGATGTTCACCTTACAACGCTTCATGGCGGGCCACAGTTGATGCTTAATTTCTTAAGATCAAAATACTGGATCATTCGAGCGCGTGACCTGGTGAAGAAGCAGTATAGAACCTGTGTGAAGTGCATAAGGTATTCGAAACAAAACAACAATCAGCTGATGGGCCAAATTCCGGAGGATCGTTTAAAACCATCGAGACCCTTCAAGATCTCAGGAGTTGATTTTACGGGTCATATTAATATTCGTTTTTCACCTGGACGAGGAGCAAAGTCTTACAAAGGCTATATCTGCGTTTTTATCTGCATGTTTTCAAAGGCGGTACATTTAGATGCAGTGACCGATATGACTGCTAAAGGCTTTATCGCAGCCTTCCGCAGATTTGTTTCAAGGAGAGGACATTGTAAGACCTTGTTCAGCGACAATGGTACTAATTTCGTCGGCGCCGATAAAGAGTTGAGGGAGAGTTTTAATCGCGCTGTATCGCAGCTGCCGGACGAAATTAGTCACTTACTTACTAACGAAGGTACGACATGGAATTTCATACCTCCACATGCTCCCAACTTCGGAGGCTTGTGGGAGGCCGGAGTTCGATCCACCAAAACGCATTTAAAGCGAGTGATAGGAGATTCTACTCTCACATATGAAGAGCTTTCGACTGTCTTAACTCAAATTGAGGCATGTCTCAATTCTCGTCCACTTTCTTATCTCAGTGATAATCCTGATGATCCCTTACCATTAATGCCTGGTCATTTTTTATTTGGGGAGCCACTTATTGTAATACCCGATGAATATTGTACTAGTAAAAATGTAACTGGTCTTCAGAGATGGAAATATACTCAAAAAATGGTTAACGATTTTTGGAAAAAGTGGTCTAAAGAATATTTAGTAACTTTAAATCAACGCTATTAATGGACAATGAAAATAACTGAGCCAGAGATTAATGATGTTGTTATAATTAAAGATCATAACGTACCCCCTGCAAAATGGTTGTTAGGTAGAGTTGTTGAAAAACATGTCGGTAAAGATCAGATTGCACGTGTTGTAACGCTTAAAACTAAGAACGGATACTGTAAACGGCCGTGTAACAAATTATATTTGCTACCTAAGTCTGTAGACTAAGCTTAAAATTTTGTTTAAGTTGTAACTACAGGGTTAGTTTGATGTTAGTTTTGGGTTTTTTCTTTAGGTT